TTCAATATTGTTAGGAAGTCAGTTCTAGATATATCTTAACCAGGTGTGTTTTATTTTATTCCCTTTTCGAAAAGTACTTCATTTCATACAAGCTCACCGTTAGTTACAGAAAACACATCAAAATTCTTTTGCCCAAATCAATACAGGACTTTATGAATATTCTGTATAAACAAAGAGTCTGTTTCCGTATACTAGGGCTACAGCTATCGTTGAGAAAAATTTGGCTTCCTTTGGTTAAGAAAATAATCTGACTCCGATCCCCAGCTACGAATTCGAAGAAAAGTAAAGTTTGACAACATGAACGAACGTGAGACTGCTATAAACGCATAGTGAAGTCAATGCTTTATTAATTTCTAGAGAAAAAAATTCGGTTGTGATTCCGGGGAATTCAGAATCTCGCGTCCGACTAGTTTAAAAATACAAATCCGGTGAAAATATATACAAAAGTTCGACTCCACGGCCTACCGTACTCTTCTGATTTTTTAATGCATCAAAATTTGGGCAACCAAAGGCCTCAGAAGCCCAGAAAAATAATGAGAAAATTTCAAAGCAAACAAGCAAGGAGAAAGTGAACACTCTTCCCTAGGTTGCTTGAAAATCCAACTACTTTACCGCAATCACATGTTGCTGACTAATCTTGTTAATTGACTTATGAAAGGAGAATTCTATTTATAAAGGATTTATCTAAGAACCTTACCCGAGGTTTGTTGTGTTGCAACTATTTCGCAGAAGTACAGGGTAACCACTAACCATCAAATATATTACGAAGGCCATTTGGAACATATTTTAGAGAAAACATAACCTTCGTGCAAAACATCTAGGTCACGACTTCCCGAATTTTTAAGTTCACGACTAGGGCTCGGCATTTCGAATCGAATATTCGGATCGAATATGAAATTATTCGAATCAGTTCAGAGCAAAATTTCGAATCGCGCCATCTTTTTTTTTTCTTTCCTTCAATGGTCGAGGTAAATTTCTCAATTTTTTGGAACATTAGAGTCATATTTCTTCAACGCAATTCCCGGCATACGATTCTTTTCTGAAGTGAGTTATTGACGAAAACGTGTTTTTATTGTGTGTGAATGCTCAGCAATCTGCCTGAGTATTGTATTCTATTTTTCATTATTTAATGTATCTGGAGGACCCAATACAATAAGAAAGTTACAAACAATTTCATGTCTCCTAAGTATTCGAGATTCGATTCGAAAAAATTATTCGATTCGATTCTGAAATCATCAGGTATTCGAAAATGCCCAGCCCTATTCACAACCTCTTTCAATATATTAAAATTTTCCGCGACCCCTGTCAAATAACAACTATATGAACAACAATATTTGACAATATGAAGGAACATGAAAAATGCAAGACTGCTAAAACGCACAGTAAAGTCAATGCTTTATCAATTTCCGGCTTGACTCCAGGGAATTAATAATCTCGAATCCGACGATTTTGAAAACAACTCCGGTGAAAACATACAAACTTCGACTCCACAGCCCTGACGATCGATCCGGTGGCGTAATTATTAAAATCACCAAAATATGGGTAGCCAAAGATATCGAAAGCCAAGAAAAATAATGAGAAAATATCCTAGAAAGCAACCCAGAAAAGGGAACACTCTGGCCTATTACTTGAATAATTCAATTACCTTAACCGCAACCATGTGATGCTGTATACCTTTGATGACTTCGAGAGCGAAGTAAGTCTGTAGAGAGATTTTTTGAGGCTGGCTGCTTTTATCTAGTCTCGTTCGGAACAAAAGGCACAAGTAAGCTTCGTATTATGTCACAATACTAGAAAAGTTGACCCCCCCCCCACAAAAAAATGGGGTGGGCTACGCTCTTGTTCGGGGGCCGAAAAAATCAATTTCGAAGCAAGAAAGGAAGTGAACACTACAGCTTACTTGTAAAAAATCTGATTACTTTCAACCACAATCACATGGTGTTAACTAATCCTGTTCATTGACATTCGCCATTTCAATTTTGATGATTAGTTGGGTGATGAAAGGAGAATTCTATTTATAAAGGAATTTATCTTATTCGAGGTTTGTTGTGTTGCAACAATTTTGCATAAGTACAGAGTGATCCCCCCAAAATAGAACGCAGGTTTATTTGGAATATATTTTAGAAAGAACAAGACTTTTGTGCAAAACATCTAGGTCATCGCGACCCCTTCCAATACAATTACATTTCCGCAACCCCCGTTTAAGTCGGCATTGTTATGTAAGCGCGCCCGCTTTTCTGTACTTAATGGATTGACCCCCCCTCCCCCTCTTCCCTATAATTTCAAACACCCTTCTAATTTTCAGGTACGGCATCATACTATAAATTCGTAACGTGAATTAAATTGTATTTGAATATTCAGAAAGTGACAATATGCCAGTGAGAATGATCAGTCAAATACATAACACATTCTTATAAGTTACAAATAGGCTAATCACTAATATGGGGTCGTAAAGAGTAGGCCTACATCAATTTCACACAAAGTACTACATTTTTTTTACTCTTTTTTTAAACTTTTTTAGACTTTTGATTTGAAACTCAATCATTAAAACTTGTGCAAAACATAAATCTCACGATTTCAAGAGTATTCTTAATATATATTATTCCTTCATTCAAGTTAATGCTTGCGACCTTACCTTGATCAAAGCTCACAAAAGCAAAAAAGAATCTTGATAATTACAACCAACTTATCAATTCACATGGGAGAATGAACAACTCTTGCGCCATTTTGTTATCACCGTACTTCCAAGGTGATCTGAGCAAGGTTGAGGTATTTATAAATTTCTCAGAACAGAGACTTCGTGGGTGGTCTGACTCTATCAACGATTGCTGACTACGTGCGCGCTAATCAACAAATTGAATTAAAAACCTCGTGATTGTAAATTCAATTATATTTCAAAGTAATTACAATGTTGGAAGCTATGATCGGCGGTGTGGCGCATCGTGCTTAGCTTATGAAATAGATACGTTCGCCACCACACCTATGATTACGAATCCCGTGGGGATAATTATGTGCGAGAGGATTGCTGGACTCCTCGCCGCATTAGGATGGTTCACGTGACCGCTAGTCGGTTGCGGCTTCTTCCACCACCAAGTCCATGCTTCCGAAAACAAATTACTAACTAACTAGCTAACCCCGTACCATACAAAGCTGACATGAACTGGTAACCTGACGAAAGGCCGTGGTTCGCCATATGGTTGAGCCGCCCTAACAGCTTTCCTCCCCCCGGGATAAATATGCAAATTCTAATCCAAAAAAAGAAGATGTTAATTTCAACGCCGTATTTGAGTAGTAATTTTTTTAGATATTTTTTCAAAACAATCTCTATGAAATGAAGTGAATGAGACTGCTCAAAGATGAAATCGCAAAAATAGATATAATTATTTTTGCGACTATGCGACACGTGACGGTAAATTAAGAATACTCTATCGAGTAGAAAAACAAAACTTTGCAAAACGACGAAGTGCCAACTCCGAGCTGCGTATCTTTCTTGAGTAAAAAGTAGCACAGCCAGCATTATTTTTACACATAGCTACAGCAGCATTTTTATGAGAAAAACTTCAATATGGCTGAGAGTCCTCGATATATTACGTTTTGTGGTACTATGGCATTGTACTTATAAACTGGATTTTAGGTTTTTTGTGAATGTTGTCACATCCAATCATTTAACAAACTATCGAGTAGCGAGTGACTCACGCAAACTTTTAGTGACCGCGCTACAGTTCGGGGTGCTGAAAATTACGTAGCTCTATACTTCCACCAGGTGTCTTCACAAGTCAAGTTTATTTTTTTCCAATCAGTAAATAAAAAAAAAATAGAACACAGAAAATACGAAAAAAATGAAAATTACACAGTTTTACTGGGGATGGGAAGTCGCGGGGAACCAAAGCTGGTCGAGCAGCACCACCTGAGATTCGAATATCTAATTTGAAAAATTGGAGATAGGTAAGTACCGTGTTTGATGTTGGGTACCGTACAAGTCGTTAATCTAACTTTGCTTAATGGAGATAGTTAATTTCTCGAGATTGCATTTAAAGAGTCAAAATACCAACTGCTGGACGGGGATTTTCGGCTGTTATATATATTTCGGCTTTTCGGCTAAAATTTATATATATATATATATATATATATATATATATTATTATACACGGCTTCAAAAGGAAAGGTTGGTTGTATGGAGGGATTTTGAAGCATAATCCTGATAAACCCAAAACGACCTGCTAAGCCGACGAAAAAAGTTAAAATAATTAAACAATAAATAAATGTTTTTAAATAAGTGTCAATCCAAAAGGTTACTTGGTCGCAAAAGGTTTACAGATGTAAAATGGATCGATTCAGATTAAAATATATTTATTTTCGTTTTGCAAAAGCATATAACAATTTACAAAAACGGATATCTGCTGGTTGCAGTGGACGAGGGGTTGCGAAAGACTCAAAGAGTCATTCAGTCAGCGACACCTTGTAGCTGCATTGAAGCAGCAAACAGAGCAACCGAACAACTCAGTATTAAATAAATTCGACACAATCATATAAAAAAGGGAAGAACAACAGAAAGAATATCAAATAAACTGCAAGTGCCACAATGGTTATGAAATATCACTTAAACGTTGAAATCAATTGAAATTGAAACAAAAAACTAGTTTTTCGCAATATACATTCATTAGGTTTAGAACATTCTAATATTTTCAAATTACTGCCAGTGCCAAATATATGTAAAACGTTGTTTGCTCGAGACATCCAAAAGTCCATGCTTTCGAAAACAAATAACTTACTATATACCATAACACCCATACCCGACACATAGACGGGTAACCGGACGAGGGGCCGTAGTTTGCCATATGATTAGGCCGTCTTATTGGTTTTCCTCTCCCCAGGGATAAATATGTTAATTCTATCCTATTTAAAATTTATTAACGTATATTCGTTTCGGATATATTTACAATCCATCCGGACATACCGATATTATTGACTCTCGTCACTTTATAGTCGTTCGTGACCGGCATATCCTTCACATTGCCTTTGCTTCAAGCGTTAGGATTTCTAGTTTGTTTTGTTTGGTAAAAAATAAAGCTGTTTGAGGCGTTGGGATGCTGAGATCTTTTTGAGTGGAGTAGCCCAACATGTCGGTTACAAATCAGGGATCGTCGCGTCCATCGATAATTAGCGACTTGGACCGTTTGCAGCAAATTGTAAGATTTTATTTTTTGCTTCACCGTCCTGTACGGTAACTTGCTGGCTCGTTAATATTTTGAATGAAGCACCTATCCCATGGTTGATCAGGCCATCGCTCATTTTTGGAGACAGCGCTAACTGATTACAGGACTAGTTGAAATGACGATTAAAAACTGAAAAATGCTTGAATGAGTGGCTAATTTCTGAATCTTGTGCTTCAGTCTTTTAGATTTTCATATTGCTGTATTACCGTATGTTGAAATTGATTTCACTGCATATTTGCACACTGGGACTTGAAATCGAACCTTCATGTCTGAAACACCTCTCAGGGTACCGTATTTAGAGCGCTGTTCTTTACACAAATGTTAAACAGTGAGTGCAGGAGTGGACGATTGTGAGGCCTTGCGAAGTAAACGCTGTAACTGCTTAAATAACTGAATAGCCGAAAACAAAAATGGTACCGGTATGTGAAAATACAACCGAAATTTTCATTTTTTAAAAAAAGGCCATCTTGCGCGAACACAATATTTTAAACGGCATGGGACATACTTGCTTAGTTAAAAAGTTGAATCCATAATATACGCAAAATGGAGATTTCTAGAGAACGTGCAAATCCTTAAAAAGTTTAATGAAAAATATCATGCGCCTGCTCACCAGCACACACAAAAAATGGCGCATATTCACTTAACGCCGTAAGTTCTTTCATTTGGCATGGCACAACCATTTTCGCATATGTTATTCCTAACCCCCACCTGGCTCTGTCATTCAAAGATTATGTCTCTAAAACCTCACAACCCATGGCTTGGTCCGAAATGGCATCTCCGCCAACGATAACGAATTTGCTAACGCCAGCGATCTCTCTCATATCGGGATGGTTTCGACGTGAAAACAAGGGAAATTGCTTGCTTGAAACAATGATCCGTATACTTTTAACGAGCCTTATTTCGTCACTGTGACGTTGTAGTGATGTAAATTTTAGATAACATAATCGGGTGGAGGTTTTAAATGACATATGCGAAAATGGTTACGCCACGCCAACTAGACGTACTTGACGGCGTTTAGTGAATTAGTCCCTATAATCATCTATGTGCTTTCCTCGCCATACAGCCATAGATATGCAAATCCTATTCTTACAGTTTTTATTGTTTTACCAGAAATCTTCAGGAGGACTTCTAAGTGAAATTGATGAACAGAGATTGCGGCGTCATCAGTTGTGGAACCTAAGAAAGAAATGGATCAAGGACCATCATTTGAGCGCTAGAGAACCATTACACCCTCCCATAACAGTAAGATCGAGAGAGATTTTAATTCCACAAACAATGAAAAACAATATGAAGCAATATCAGTAATTTTTAGAGAATTAGTGGCAGGGCGGTGTGACTCATTGTGCTAAGCGTTAGGAATACGCTCGCCACCGCACCTCTAATTACTCTGCATGGGTTCGCAGGTTCGAATCCCAGGTGGGGATAGTTATGTGGGAGAGGATCGCTGGACTCCTCGCCGCCGTTGGGTGGTTCACGTAACCGCTGGTCGGTTACCGCTTCCTCCTCTATCAAGTCCATGCTTCCGAAAACCAATAACTAACTAATCCCATACCCCACATAGAATGGTAACCGGACGAGAGGCCGTGGTTCGCCATATGATTAAGCTATTATGTTGACTTTTCCTTATCTTGGATTAATATGATAATCAACCTATCCTTACCTAAAATTGTGGAGGCATAATAATGCTTACTTATTTGAAGTTTCATTCAGTCGCTTATAGGAAATTAGAGCTTACAGCTTTCTTTGTGAATATTATGTGAAAAATGTTTCCAATCCCTAGGCCGAGCCAAATTTAACTCCTGAGTAAGGGAGTCCCAATATGAATTTTCTCATACTCCATATTTCTGTGTCTGGCAAATTTATAGAATCTATATTTTTTTTCAGTTCATGGAAAAAATGAAATGTAGAGAAGGAGCGTTCTGGGATAAACATTTGAAATATAAGACAGTTGCGGATATGCTTTACGGAAAAGGTTTTATAAGAGAATTCCCAAAATTAATGGTGAGTATATGGTTGATTGAACATTTTTGAAATTTAACTGCCGCCTAGCCTATTTGTGCCTTGGTTGACTAAACATTCTGGAAAAATAACTGCTGTAAGTTTGTCGAGACAAAATGCCAAGCAACCCTTCAAAAAAGCTGGCACAGGCATTTCAATGTGGTTGGAAAACAAAAGTATTCTCAAATTGAATTGAAGCTAGCTATTGTTATATATTGCTGAAGTACGCATACAACGCAATTGCGGCTTGCTTTTTTGGACTTTAAAGTCAAAGCCAACGTCAAGTTTAGTGTTAAATTGTTCTGTTGATGTTGTTATTATAAAATACATACTTGAGCATGTAACAGACATTGAATGAACTATCTATAGGTCATTGTAGTATAGTCCCAACCCCTTGAACGTCTTCATCAGTATGTTCCCCGTTTTTTTTATGTTAGGGAGGAAGGGGTTTTCCAAATTTAGGGGGTGGTATATATTCTGTTATTGGTTATAAAACTATCTGTAACTTATTGATATGTGTGTTGTATTGCTGATCATTATGACCGGCGTATAAGCCACTTTATAAAGATCAGGGTGGTCCAAACCCACATGTGGCCCGCCGCTTCATTATCTGTGGCCCGAATGGTATTTTCGCGAGTTTAAACAAAAAAATTGCATTTGGTGTTGTTTTGTCATATAAATAAATAACCAGAAAAATCTTTCGACATATTGTTACATCACTATTCACTAATGAACAATGCTTGCTTAATATGTCTGATAAATTACGAATAATGATCGATGTGTTCACAATAAAAGAGTTTGTTTTGTATTGCAATGTTCACCTATTCTTGGCACTATTGTAACCCGCGAACAATACGAAAATAATAGCGTGGCTCGCGAGACCTTGAACCACCCTGATATAGATATTCAAATACAATTTTATTTACTTTCAGAAGTAAAGTACGGTGGTCCTACCTGAAAATTAGGTGGTGTTCACCCCTATAGGGGGGTGTAGGAAAATCACTGGAATTTACCCAGCCTTGTCTTGAATAGCGTCTTATTCTAGTTTCACAATTTCGAATTATTTTTTTTTCAGTTTTACAAAGCGCAAAAGGGGGCTCGAAGTTATCTTCTCTTTTTCATGATTCCAATGGTTCCTGTACTGGCGTGGCTGAAACATGTAGTGGAGGTATGTAGCAGGGCTGTAGAGACTGGTTGTAAAAAAATTGACTTTGAAAAAGTCGAAAATTTTAGCTCGTGTAAGCCTTTTTCAGTTCTCTATTTCTAGGAGTATAATGCATCAGGTGGTCCCCTTGGTACTCACTTCACCAGCTGGAACTTACCGGCAATTATGTGAACCACCTTGTGGAGACAGAGTCCATTAATCCTCTTTCACATAATGACCTGTATCTGGATTCGAATAAGTATGGGTTATCTTTTTTCAATAATGGACTGATAAGTGCGCTTGGTCAATAGTTCTTTTTTGTCTGCGATTTGTTTCAGGGAACTTGAATATATAGGATGTCCATAAATTTTTTTATGAATTAAAAAAGGAATTTATTGATACCATATATTGTTTTGGCCCTCACAAGTGTATTAAATGAGGCAAAAACAATTGCTGATTGAAAAACAACAAACCTGGTTAACCATCATTTTATGAGTATAAAAACCATTCCATCGGTAACAACCAATCGGCAAAAGCGGCAATTTTTAACGATAAGAAAGTGTCTTTAAAACCAGTCCAAGTCAAGGGATTAATAAATATAGACATAGTTTATTTTGAAAATTGAGAACCGACTTCATAACAAAATTGAAATTGTAAAAGGACTTTATGGACACCCTGTAATATTCCTACTCCAACCAGACCCAGGCTTTCATTCGCACTGAATTTCCCCTTCCTGTTATATAAAACTTATTCAATATTTTAGGACGATCCCAGCAACGTTTTACGAACACCTTATATGCCGACATACCCTGGTGACAAAAGGTTTGTTGCCGCAAGAAAGGACGTCACAGTTGATATGAGAACGCTTCAAGTTATTCCGAAAGAAGGAGTTGAAGTTACAATCCAAGAAAATTAATTTTTCTGTGTCGATTTTTTTCTCTTGAATATATTAGATTTACATTGAATGCAAGTCTGGTTATAGTGTTTGATTTGGATTATACCGATCACAATAACACTTTAAATACCACCGGAATGATAAACGGGGACCTCTAGCCATAGAAGGTTGTGAACCACTGTTGCTCAGTGTTGGCTGGTTATTTTATGGCCAGCCAGCTTTGCCCACAGTGCCAAATTTCGATTCGGTGGAGCAGGGAAAGATTGTGCGGCCCGCGGAAAAGTGTCAGTTTTGAATAGTGTGTGGCCCATAGAAATAGTCTTAATTTTGTTTAATAATTGAACATGCAAGTAATTCCAATTCTTTCGCGTCGCAAAGCACCAGTACCCGGGTGCCACTGTCATATTAGCAAAACTGCGGCAGCTAGCAAAACACACGATGTTATAAAAACGTGTTTCTCACTGAATTCGTTTAAAGTCGGTGTGACAATGCCACGGTAATATCAATAACAAGAGAAACAATTATTTGTGCCTGAAACTACTGAAAAGTTTTTTTTTAATAAAGGTGCCGCCCTCGGCTTCACCCAGTTACTTGTGTCCGGCCCTCCTGTTATAAAGGTTGCACATCCATGCTGTAGAGAGTCCAGGTAATTAGGGGAGCTCATATCTGACTTGGGTTGAGAAAAATGTTGTCCCTTTAGCTCTAAAAAAATAAATTGTGATAAAAAAAACTCTGGACTATGTTTAAGTTTCTCCTATAGATGACTTCACCTAATCATCTTAGACATACTAATACCACTCAAAGTTCGGAGTTACGGCCCGGAAAGTTCGGTATTAAAAATACTATTCTGAACCATTTTTCCTTCGCGGCCCATTTTCGTTGAGCAAAAATTCTGTGGCTCAAGAACTTTTTCATGCTAGATGAAATCTACAATAAAAGCTAAGAATTTTTCTGCAAAAATGACATTTTTATTATAATAATACTTAGGAGAAAATTCCCACCCTGTAACAAAATACAGGATAGGATTTACATATTTATCCCGGGGAGAGAGGAAAGCCGATAAGACGGCTTAATCATATGGCGAGCCACGGCCTCTCGTCCGGTTACCAGTCCAGGTCGGGTATGGGATTAGTTAGCCAGGTTTTTGTTTTCGGGAGCATGGACTTCATGGTGAAGGAAGCCGTATCCGACCAGCGGTTACGTGAACCACCATACGGCGGCGAGGAGTCCAGCAAACCTCTCGCACATAACCATCCCCGCGTGGGATTCGAACCCACGCAAGGTAATCAGAGATGCGGTGGCAAGTGTATTCCTAACGCTTAGCACGATGCGCCACACCGCCGGGCATGCAGCATCATTCGTTGCTACTACCATCAAATTTAACTGAATTTCTAGCAATTTTTTATAGGTCTGTGGCCCAGCAGTGGGCAATGGCCCACTGGTTTAGATCCAGTGTACTAGCCAGACACCAGTGAAAACATGCCGAATTCGGACTCCCACAGAGTATAATGTTGTTAAGTGGTATTGAGGGATTGTCCAATAGACCCGTTGCTCGGCGGCGTGGCGCTTCGTGCTAAGCGTTAGGAATATGCTCGCCATCACATCTCTGATTACCCCTCGTGGGATCGCAGGTTCGAATCCCATGCGGGGATGTCATGTGCGAGAGGCTTGCTGGACTCCTCGCCGCCGTAGGGTTGTTCACGTAACCGCTGGTCGGTGAGGGCTGCCTCCACCATCAAGTCCATGCTTTCGAAAAAGAACAATATAACTAATCCCATACCCGACCTGGACTGGTAACCGGACTGGTAACGTGGTTCGCCATACGATTAAGCCGTCTTATCGGCTTTCCTCTCCTTCGGGATAAATAGGTTAATATTACTACAGTACTATCCTAGACCCATGGCTCGTACAATGGGCGTCGTTTGAACAGGGGCGCAAAAACAACGAAAAGTTTTAATCGTAAAATGTTTCAATAAAATAGTTCCAAATTGGAATAATTGAAGCTCGTAATTCTATTCAAATAAAAAAGTACAAGTATCTCAATTCAACAATAGTTCAATTCAACAAATCGTCAACCAATGATGAAGAATCGCATTTTTAAACTTTGTCATAGGCGCCGTTTTATGTAGATACGCCACTGGGACCACATGGTAAATTGTATTTCTTCGCATCTTTTTTAAATGATCTTTAAAGTCTCGTGTAAAGTGTCTCCGCTAGTTAATAGAGCAGTGGTCACAAACTCCAAACCACAACAATTTTTTGTGGCCCCTGGGCGAATCTAAAACAAGTTGTGCGTATATTTGGCCTAGTAGTGTGCATGAAGTTTGCCGACCAGTGTAATAGAGTTCGGAGTTTTTTTATTAATGACCCTTGTTAGACACTCGAGTTTTTCCAAAACTAGCATATAGGTTTTTCGGAATATAGATTTGAGATGTTATCTATTCCAGTTGTGCTCTGTATATTATCAGCCAGAAGCATAGCCAGTAATTTTCGGAAGGGGACTCAAATTTCTGAATGCGAAGTCGGAACGTAATAGCTAGCGTGTCCTGCATGATAGCCCGAAAACTGTTTCAAGCTATGGACTTCTAATTTCATTGACTGGAGTTAATGACGTTTGGTCTCTTACGGCTTGCTTGATTAAATTTGTTACTTCAAAATTCATTCATCATCAATGCAGTGGATTGCTGGACTCACCGTCGTAGGGTGGTTCACATAACCAACACAAGTACCTGGATATCTTTTAGGAAGCGACTTGTTATACAAGTTTTTTTTTTTGAATTGGAAGTTTTTTTACCAGTTGGGATTTTTCAAAGTCATCATTTTTCTTTGCTGTTAAACAGTTTGTTAAAATTACTAATATTCTCTACAACCTTTCCTCTTCTCCAGAGAAATAAAAAAGTCTTATCTTACTCTGGTTTGCACAGTTTGAGGCTTTCTTCAAGGTCAATTCCATTTCTCCAAAAGGAAGAACATGACATGAACTTTTGCAACCGAACCAGAGGCCATTCTCACCATAAAACAAGCCACCTGTGCGGCTTTCTTCTCCCATAAATATCGGGTGCTCCCGAAGTATGTGTACCAAGATGGCGCACAACCTGAACATAGTATGTGTACGAGGTTAGGGTTCAGGTTGTGCGTCATCTTGGTACAAATACTTCCGCAGCGCTAAATATCATGGTATATTACTCTTATCAGAGTAATGGAAATACCCAAAAAACATAATAATTTAATACTCTCACATAAATATACTTTATTTATCATTCATTTACACATTAAATACAGTTATAACAAATAATAGCTAGCAATATAGCATTTACGGTTCAAAGTAACAAAAAATACAAAAACACATGAGTATGGGGTGAGGAGAATTGTTGCTGTGATCCCACGGTTCAAAAAAGACTTGGTTTTAGATCCAATCCCACGACTTCAGCAGGTATGCAATGCGCGAGAAAAAATTAAAAGCGTTTCTCAAACCATTAATTAAATAATTACTTGCATAAGCAGTCGCTGATAAACAATAAATAGTTCTGGGCCTGGCATCTGCCTTGTGTTCTATACCAGGATCGCGAAGGAATTTGGTGAGCTTTTCCCCATCAAGCATAAAATTTTAATCCGACAGTTTATGTTTAACAGCTTATATTAACAAACTATGCAAGAACTCGGAATTTCAATTAACCCACTAAAATACCTACTGCGGTAATACTATGCATTGTGGGGCCTTTTTTGATTCGTTGTATGCATGGCCAGCTAGATGTCTGAAGTTGGTTATATGGTCCATCGACAAAAAATGTTGCAAACATAACCTGGGTACAAAGTTCGAAACAGGGTCCTTAACATGTGACGCCAACATAGACCGAACACATCGGCCACTATACTACCCAGGATGGTTCACATCTTTCAGTCTCTAGTAGCCAAAGTGCTCACTTTACAATCCCCTCTGTATGCCAAACTTACAAACACTCAATTATTGGACACGTAGTGGACATAACAATCGTTTCAAAATTTTGTTGTATTGTTATTATTGGTCTCCGTCAACACGTTTTGAAGAAATGCTTTTTTCTTCGAATACTGGACCAATTGCTTTGAAATTTTCAGTGGTTAAAGATAAAAATTTTCTCCCGAAGGCTATTATTTTTTTTTCGCTATGACGTTATCAAAATTATGTGACTCTACGTGTCCATATATTTGAGCATAGCTCTCTTGTTACATATAGTAAAGTATATATACTAATAACCCAAATGTTTGCTTGTCACATTAATGTCATTTGTGTTATGAAAACATTAACCTTACACATTGGTTACACAGAAATTGAAACGAATCGAGAATCGGCCAGCGGGTCAGTCAAAACTAAGATTCACAAAAAGGAGGCCCGAAGTATGGAAAACCTGTTTTCAGATGACTCAAGCCTTAGATAAGTGGGCAACTCGTGCCAACACAAACACATACTTTATGGGCCTTCTAAATTTTTCACAAACACATCTCGAAATGGCACAAATATCAAAACATGCATAAAAAACAAAATTTTACATTTTAATAACTAAAGTTTGCAACACATTGAAGTCTCCTATACCTCCCCTGCGGCCACGGCGATAGCGTATTCAGCAAATAATCTGATTGATTGACGAGTTTGTTGAGCAGCGAGAAGGACCTGAAATAGGGAATGTTACAATGTGGTTTATATTCAGTAGAAGTAAGCCTGGAACATGCGTCGGCAACCTTTAACATTGAAAGAGCCTGTTGGCATCCTTTCAAGTAAACTCATATCTACTTGGAGCCGCAACATTTACTCTAAAGTGAGTGGCTATTAAAACTCTTGGAAAATCACTTATGAATGAATATTATAGTTCTTACAAATGATGCTCGCGTATTCCAGCGATCGATCAGACCCGCTAGCAGTTTCGATCAAACTTGACAAAAAAAAAATTCATAACCCCCCTTTGGATATTTCTATCTACGCCCCATGTTCATGGGAGCCAGAACTCCGAGAACAAAGTATCGCATGTGGAGATGCAGGTTGACGATCGCTGGCCTGGATACATTAGACAAGACTATATTTATGTGAGAGAGCTGGAATAAACGAGAGTCTTGGATAACCATTGACTCAACTTGACTTCGACACTGGCAAAAATCTTTGAGTGAGGTGACTGACAACTTAACCAAGTCTTACAGGTGGTAAGTTGAGTACGAGTCAGTCGGGGTCATAGCCAGGAGGGCAAGAGGTTGCGGGTCAGAACCCCCCTCCCTCTTTTGAAATTTTTCTGTATCAAACATAGCAATTTTCCGTAGATTGGAACGCTTTTTAGACCCCAAAGACTATTGAGAACCCACATTTTCCGGCCTTCGGCAAACCTGCTAGCTGTTGCAGTCTAATTCGCCAATTACAAATTTCAAAATTCCCTCCCCCTTTGAAAATTCCTGACAACACCCTGGGGGCAAGTCCTCATGGTAGTTTGATCATGGATGGACCAGAACCAGATAGACGCCCCTAAATTGAGAGTCAAGTCTAGTTCCTAGCGACTCGATCACTTGAGACACGCTAACATTGTGAAGCACCCTTTCCAATCTCACCTCATTCATAGGCTTAGCAGCTTTTAAATCGAAACTAGATCGACTATCGGTGGATTTGTCATGGATAGATGGCATGATGCCTTGCAACCTGCTGACAAGGAATTTCATTTCTTCTTCTGGAGATGTGAAGCTGTGATACAAAAGAATCAAAATTATAAAAAAATATTTTTTGAGCATGATGACACGATGTATTTGCTATAGTACTACTAATATTCTTTACTAAGATTCGTTTTTAAGGTAGCGCCGTTTAAAAAATAACAATGTCTGGGCAAAATACGAACAATTGAAATTTTTTTATTGCATTCGGCTTCGTCGGTGGCTTCAGATTCATGACTTGTATAAACCCTATTAAGAAGGTTCAGCCATTAAATTAAGTAAAGTACTTTTAACTTGCCCAGGAATATTAATCTGAAAGTAACAATTTTAACATTTATTCTGGGACTCCGTGAATAGTAGTCAATCTTTTCAAGGGCTCCGCAACACCAAAAGTTTGAGAATCCGTGCTTCAGTCCTTTATTACTACTAAAGTATTTATTTATGCACACATTGTAATAAAAACAGAACAGAAGCAGGAGAACGGTTTGTACAGTAGGATCCATTGAAGGGTAAATAGGAAGATCCTATCCTCGCCAACTTAGTCAGGTACAACTACTCAAAATGAGAAAGACACCCAACCTGTGATCGCTGGATGAATTCTCCAAAGATTTAGATTCAAAATCTCCTTCTGGTGACGATCTTGAATTTGTTGAACCACCATCTGATTGAAAAAATTGATAAATGTGGAAAAAAATACTTTGACCATCAGGAAGTTCTCTAGTTTTGTGTGATCGGTGATATTTGGGTGAGGGAAAAAATTTTGTTTTTCCATATACATAACGAATTACAGTAAAATGGCAAAACAGGGAAAGATTTAACGCAGCGTCGAGCAAAAAACATTGAATCAAGTAGGATATAAATTATAGTTGAGGAGATTACTTCACTCTCTGGTGGTGGTTCATCATGAGAGTCTATGTATCCAAAACAAATAACTGGTAAGCAGATAATAAGCTTCAGGAGTGTGCCGACGCGCTGGATTTCTCTCCTTCCAAATGATGGAACTAATATTGATTTTTTTTTTAATAATTTTTTCAGAGTTCATTTTGTTTATGACTGATTATATTTAGAATTTTTTTTTATCAGCAAGTGCTTATACGCAGTAATGCTTGGAGTGAAAAAACGTCATAATAAAAAATACAACAAACCTGATGTCTGATTCTTTTCATGCTTCCTGTGACTCTTCCTCTGCGGGGTCAGAGTTCGTTCTCTTCTGGAGCCTTTTGGTGTTGATGGTTTCGAAGATGCTTTTTGACTTCTAGCTCTGGATTGCTTGGGACTGGATTTGCGGGAATTCTTTGGTGTGGCTCTTGTAGACTCCTTGTGGTCAGATTCCTGTAATGTGAGAATATTTATGAACGGATTGTTTTTGGTGTAAAATCTGTAATTTTTGGGTGATACGCAGGGTTGTCCAAAACGAATTGAATATTCAAATGTATTCGAACATCAAAGTATTCGAATACCTTTGCGGTTGATTTTCAAATATTTCTGAATGATAGCCACTTTCCGTTAACACGGTGTTTCGTTTTCGCGCTAATCTTCAAAAGAATTTTTTGTGCTTTGTCACGTATTGCAGCCTAATGATGATAAAATAAAATCTACATTTCGATTGTTTATATTCTGTGACCGTGAGAGCGAGTGTCGCATGTTGCTGCGACAGTATCCGCTCAATTATGGTATGTTAAATTATACAGAATTCTATGAGAATAAAGATTCTTGCTGTACAACAACACAAATGTATTTTGGTAAATCAGACTAAATGTTACAGAAATACATTCACATTAGTGTGTGGTAGACTCTTGAACAGGCGTGGGCAAGGTTTTTGAAAGAGGGGCCAAAAATTTTGCCCATTTAGACTGGCGGGCCATGTAATTGTGACATGAAAAAATACATTTCATGAACACTATTTACAGTGTTATAAAAGCATTAGTGGAAACAATAAGCCTCGTGCCAAAACTAAATTTAATCGCAATCTCAACAAATTTCTTGAAGTATTTTTTAGCTAAAACACCCAAATTTGGTTTTAGTTTGGTTGTGACAGTAGTCAGCCCAGTTCAGCGCTTGAATCATTAGAATATTTATTATTTATTCATTGTTACTGATTTTTATGTAAAATATGTCATTTTCATATAAAACATCTTTTGTTGATCGCTGTTAAAATAAAATTGATTGCAAGATGGGATTCTTGAATTCTGAACTATTCAAATATGCACTACCATTCAACGAAGTAATGTTGTATTAAAAAATGCATTCTCAATCAAATCAGAATAAAATAACATAACAATAACTCCACCTGGAGATCAGAATCACTTCCAGACGCTGAGGAGGAGTCCTCTTTATGTTTCTTCTTCAAATCTTTCCTTTGTGACCTGTCTAGCTTCTCTTTCTGAGGTTTTGATCGCCCACTAGCATCCAGTTGTCTCATTTCGGGAGTTTTTCTAGCATTTGAATGACCTTCAAATGACCTTGATTTCGATGAATTGCCTGTCGGACTCTGTACACCAGTCTGCATGTGAATATGACCATTTTTGGGGCTAAAATCGGCCCTGTTTGTGCTAAATTTTTGACTGGAGTGCCCCATTTTGGCCCCTGCTTCAGATCTGTCCACAATATTAGGTTTGCTTGAATGTATATGAGCATATGGGTCTATTTCTTCAGAGTGTTCAATTTGGTGGTCAAAACTTGGTGTGTCTGAAACGGGGGATGTTGTATCGCCATTTGAGGTCCCATAAACCCCCAAACTGGGGTTAGATACCCCAGCACCATGTAAAGTATCCAATGAATCCATAGAACCTCTTTGTGAACCTTCATACGCTAAATTCTCGCACGACACAACTTTTCTCGGCGCGACGATTGATCCTAGTGTATTATTCCTTGAAAGATGGCGCTGTTCGCCATTTTTGATTCTTTTTCCACGGGAAGAGACAGAACTTGGTCTACCACCGCTAGATTCTCTACCTTTTGCTTTGCTTCCACTGGTTTGAGATGATTCGGAACTGCTGGACTTATTAGTTGAGCCATTTTTATGCCCACGTTTCAATTTGTCTTGAAAAGAAGGGGTGTGGTGCAATTTGTCTTGGAATGGAGATTTATTGTGTAGATTGTCTCCAAATGAAGGGGTCTTCTCTCCATTGAATTCTTGAGAACCATACATCTTAGAAGGACCTCTTTTGTGAGGTTTTGGTATTTCCTTTTCACGCGATCTGAGAGAGCCATCGTAACTTTGCGGCCGCTGCCTACGTTGTGGAATTTTCGGACTTTTACTTGAGTTTTTGTAACTCGCCTTGGAGCTGATGTCTGACGTATATTCAATTTCCGGTTCGTGCAATTGGTTTTCCAAATTTTTCCGCTGGGGGGTGCTGCTACGTTTTTTACGCTGTTTTGGGGTCGGTGTGGACTGGTTTACTCTTATTTCTTCAGAGTCGAGGTTATGAGAATGCTGTGAAGTGGTTAACATAGATTCCGACGTTGTTTGATTGGCCTCTAGATGGCGCAAGTAAGCTTCTTGTAAGGATTGTGAATCGTTTCGTCTGAGTTTCGGAGATGTTCCGCGAGAAGAATGCCATGATTGACGCTTAGGCGAAGAATGTCGCGAATTCTGCGAGATTTCACTGAAAGATCCGGACTCACTGGAGGAATCTTTTTGAAATTGATTATACATGCCCTTAGCGGATACCCGACTAAAATTCGTGGGTGTTAGACTTCTTTGAGCTAGACCAGGACGGTTAAAAGCGGCTGCAACTTGAGGAGAACTTTGACGGGAGCTTTGAGAACTCTGCGATGGGGAACTCCGTGGGTGCTTTGGGGATCTCCCAAATGGGACATCTGGGAGTACTTTACGTGAACCCCATGGACCTGGTTTCAGGGGACTTCCAATATCATTTGCATTTTCTCTTGGGGAATTCCCCAATGATCTGAAAGGTTTTTTATGGAATCCAATAGGGGAATCCTGTTCCAATGATTGAGGGGAATACCCCAAAGAGTGGTGTTCGTCTCTAGGGACTCTCATAGGCCTTCTGCTTGCTTTAGGGGAAAGTCCCTTCATTTCTGGGTCTTTTTTTGTTGGATATAATTTAGGGGAGTGCCCACTGCGTCCTTTGAGGGGCTCATAGTGAGGATGAGAACCGGGCCTCTGAATAACTGAGGTAGCCACTCTTTCTGGTGGCTGAATAAATTGTGGGGGTGTGGTCTGAAGATCAGGAGGTGTGTCATACTTTGATATTGAATCATAATGTCGGGGAGGATAATGCAAAGACTCGTGACTTTTTCTACTCTGTACTGCTTCAGGTGTGTAGTAGTGACTGCTTGTAGCCACTGGGGAATAGCGAGAATTTTTGGGGCTGTAAGAAGCATTTTCTGGACTTTGTGAAACGATTCTTGGTGTGGATGTGCGTGGTGCGACACCTGTGTGTTGTGGAACATGCTGTGTGTGGTGGTGCGTATCTGGGTGCAATGAAGCACGAAGATCATTCAACTCTCTCTGAAGATCACTGAATTGAAAAATAGGATTTTAAAATTTTATTGCCTCATTGGTCCCACTCAGTCAGAAAATGAAGGAGATCGATATCCGAGGACTCAAGTAGAGGAATTTGGCATGGGGTAGTCTTTGGATTTTCAAACTCCAAAAAGTCAAGACTTCCCATGGCGTTAACAGAATTCACAATTTGAACCTTCTCACAGTTTATTAAAGAAGGTTACTGATTATATTTTAAACCTACCTTATTTCAAGCGGCACATATTTAAAAAAAAAATAAGTCTCGCAACCCAGGAATATGATTGAATGCCTCATGCCTTGTTGCTTGGTCATAAAATTAACTGAAGAATAATAACAACAATACAACATATATGAAGTTTTTACGCTGTGAAACTGCCCACATATACAATTACTATTGAGCAACACTTCAATACAAATATAAAATAGATAATAAAATTTAATAAAAATAAAACCAGTAAATTTTAGACTTTTGTTGAAAAAACAAATGACACAAAGAGATTTGCAGGAGACCTATACGTTGGGGAACACTGTATTAAAAGGCTTGTGTGCGAAGTTGGCATTTTTGTCAAATTTTGATATCTTTGGGAGTTTGATTCATCAAAATATAATATCTCCCTACACATATTATTGACTGCTTGTAGCCCATTAGAAGTGAAAGACAAATCCTTATTCATGAAATGAGAAATCTATGTTGAAATGTACATACAAGTCAGAGGTCGAACAAAAAAGTGTTCCCAATTCCCTAGGTTTTTATGCCATTAAATGTGTTCCCATTAACTTGAAAAACAAATTTTTTGTTGCCTTACTACTGGTTATAGGTCAAATAAAAAAGTGCTCCCCATATGCCATTAAAAGTGTTCCCATGGTCTAAAAACAAATTTGTTTTTGACTTCCTGGTTATATTGCTTTATAACTTCTACCTCAGCCTTCCAACAAAGGTCAAATCAAAAAAATGTTTCCATATGTCATTGAAAGTGTTCCCATGACTAAAAAACAATTTATTTGTTGACTCACTGGTTATAATGCTTTATATCTTCTAACTCAGCTTGTAATTTTTCTTGCTCGTTTTGTGGTTCAGCCCCCTTGATTCTCCCTGCCTGAGGATTGTTTTGAGATGATTCTAACAGTTCTGTAGTTGCCATCATTCTCCTGCAAAAAAAAATACTGTGAGTGGTTCCTATCCCAGGGGAGAGGAAAGCCGATAATACGGCTCAATCATATGACAAACCACGGCCTCTCGTCCCGTCCAGTAATACAGTAAAGATACAGTTAACAGTTACCACCTCTGATAGATGAAAAAGCAAACATACAAAAGTATAAAAGGTGTCAGTTGTAGGATAGGATTTAGCCTATATATTTATCCTGGTGGAGAGGAAACTTGAAAACACGGCTTAATCATATGGCGAACCACGGCCTCTCGTCCGGTCACCAGTCCAGGTCGAGTATGGGATTAGTTAGACAGTTATTTTTTGATTTCAGATGCGTTGACTTGGTGGAGGAAGCCATAACCTACCAGGGGTTTCGTGGACTACCCCATGGCGACGAGGAGTCCAGCAATCCTCTCGCACATGATCATCCCCGCATGGGATTCGAACCTGCGAACCCACACAGAGTAATCAGAGGTGTGGTGGCGAGCTTATTCTTAACGCTTAGCATGATGAGCCAGACCGCTGCGCCTAAATAATGCTATGTAGAAGCAGATACTTAAGACAGGGTGATACAAAGTTTAAAACGAGAATATCAGTCGGAGACCGAAGACTTATCGATCGAAAGTTAGGGGAATCCCCCAAAACAGAAACTGCGGTTTCGATTCATTCGCTCTAACTCTATAGTGACACCGCGTGTCCTATTACTAATTAATTAATAACTCGAGATTTATAGGACATAATTTTTCCAAAATCAATAGGCTTCTGGTCCGAGATATGATGAATGCACATGCAAAACTTGGAGCAGATTCAACCTCGCTTTCAAAACCTATCAAGATCGATAAGTAATGACTAGACTGTATTGGACTAGAAGTGTACTAACAAATACGTTATTTTCAATAGACTTCATTTTTGACTTTAGTTCAGAATATTCCTTCAGAAAATTTGACCAGTTTGACTGCCTGATCAGACTCAAACAAGACCCTCCTGAAGAGACACGGTCACAAACAAAAAAATCTCAGAATGATTTGCAACATATTGGCTGTGAATCTGTCATTACTTATCGATCTTGATCGTTAAGTAGGTTGATAGGTATTTGTCTGTTAGACATTTTCGCATGTTACGCGATATCTCCCGAAAGCGAGGTAGAATCTGCTCCAAATTTTGCATGTACATTTATCACATCTCGAACCAGAAGCCTATTGATTTTAGATGAATTATGTAATATAATTAGCAGGTTTTTGATTAATTAGTGATGAGACACACGGTATCGCTATTGAGTCAGAGCGAAAGATACACGCCGCTAGATCGATAAGTCGGCGGTCTCTGATCGATATCTCGTTTGTTTAATTAATGTTTTGCCTTTGATTATAATGATTCATTTTTTTTTTAGTTAGTTTGGTATTCTTGGAATATTAGACATGCCTCATTAATCGTGTCACAGAAATGACACAGAACCAAAAAACTAGGTATTTTTTTTCTTAAAAAGAGAAGCATGTTTTCTTTAGTAGACTCAAAAATCTGCTGTTTTGAATTTTAAATCATGTAAAATTTAAAAACTGCTAATACTGCCATGTGCCTACCTTCTCTCCTCTTCTAGTTTTTCAATCAGTAAATCCAGTTTCACTTTTTCTTCATCGGCCAACTGTGAAACGTCAGCAAATCCTGCTGACATTCTACTGACATTGAGATCCTGAAACAATAAATTAAAATTGCAAATTTAAGTAAAAAAATAGATGAATAAGCATTTTGAACGGTGTATTGAAGAAAATCCTCGAAAATGGCAATAATAGATGAGATGTTTTTGGTGGATGTAATACACCAAAATAATTCTATACAGTTTGAGCAGCTTTAAGTATATCAGCATTCGTCAATCACCTTGCTCTCAGAAAGGAGTCCCTTGTGATTCCCTACAAAAGGACACAGTAGCGACTCAAAACTATTTTACTAAAGGTGACAGCACATTTGAACCAACGTACATTTGAACCCATACATTTGCACCCGTATATCCGCGGGTTCAATCTATATGCGGGTGATAAAATCCATGGGTTAGGGTTGGATGTCCGTAAAAAAAAAGTTCCATAGGTGCAATAGTATGCAGGTGCAATTGTCGTGAGTTCAAATTACGGGTTCAAATGTACGTTGGTTCAAATGTAATAGAACTGTATTTCTTTACAAATCGATAGATATAAGTAGATGCATAAACAAGATTTTTTTCGGAGCGAAAAGTATAAATATAAAGTTCTAATAAAAATACTCAAGTACTCAATGACAAGACGGTCGGAGGATGACTGATACTTCGCGAGTAAGTGATTCGGTATATGGACCTGACTTTCCATTCTATATATATCGTTGTCTCTGAACTTGTGTCTAGAGTCTGGATTAATGTTTATAGCAGAAGCCCGAGAGAGATAAATGAGAGATCAAGAAAATGATTGTTAATGTTTGCAAATAAGTAGTGGTGGTGTGTTATTTTATTAATCTGACCCCACCTCACCCCATATCTCACCCCACTGCACTCTTAATCTACAGCTGAGTTTACTAGACAATTTTAATATGGTTAGCTGCCAAAAGCGTTGTGAATAAATTTTTCAGCTCTATTACTCAGAAAACAAAACTTCTTGTCTCCATGAATAGGAGCAACTCAAAAAATGTTATTTTCCTACTTTCAAAAGTACTCTATAGACAAACATGGCATACCACTGGGCCACAAAAAAGGTGCTCCTGAAGTATGTGCACCAAGATGGCGCACAACCTGAACATAGTATTGTACCAGGTTAGTGTTATCAAGTTGTGCGCCATCTTGGTGCACATACTTCAGCGCCCAAAACAAAAACATGGAGAATCTCAATAAACGGATCAGCGATCCACCTCCGCCAAATCTACCCTACGCCAGGGAATCCCAGCACTAGATCATTGCACCAAATTAATACTCTATGACTAGAACAAACATGTCATACCCCATTATTCTGTTGCTCTGTATATCTTCCATATTCAATATCAGGCATTGATGTGCTTGTCACATCTAAACTTTGTTGCTGCCAAGTCTCCATCATGCTGTGAAAATTCAGATTTAATGTTATTTATGAAACTTAATCTTTCTTTTTTATATGACATTTTCATGTTTTATTCCAAACAAGACCAGGCACAAGAGCCACTGATATGCCAGAAGCCTTGCTGAATTTTTAGCATTTCCAAATTCACCCCAGTGACTTCGTTTTGACCGAAAAAGAGAGAGCAATGCTCGAATATATTGACCCCAGGGTTATGTATTGATACTATAAGGTCGTAGCTGAGCACCTAGCTTGCCAACAAAATGAATGAATGAGCAGAATAGAACGTTCACATAAGCCATTAAAATGAAAATTTTTATGATACGACAGGTCTCAAAGATAATTAACACTTCGCATCCTTCATACTTCAAATTTGAAATTAATTGGACCATCAGCTGTGGGGAAAAAAGAATTTTTCACAACAAAATTTCATTTCACTTCCAAGAGTTCCGTAAATTCAAATCTAAATCCTACGATACCCACCTTACTATATTCTTGAATGGTTGAACACACAACACGATGATTCAGAAACTACGAAAACATCTAAAACAAACAAATATTTCACTCGGAAATATTAGTCAACTACATTTAACAAATACAAAAAAGCTAAAAACAATAAAAAAGCATTGACAAGCTAGTTATGAGAGCATTTCCTAATAAAGCACATTTTAAAAATGTCAGCAGTCTTTTAAGTTCATGCCCAATTTAATTCAAAACTCACAAATTTTATCAAAATAACAATAGTTCAAAAAACTTCAATTACTAATTAATTTCACATTTAAAGGATAAAAGTTATTATCCTTATTAATATACAGTAAAAAGCTAACTCTATATTCCAAAAAAATCTTTTGATTTTAAGAAAATTCTCAAACCCTGAATTCCACTAGAAAGAACAAGAATTTTCATTCAAGTGGAAAGTGGATGAACATTTTTAAAAAACCTTTTTCGAGTAGCAGTTTCAGAAAGAATACTAATTTACATCAAATACTATTTTGAAGTTTTTTTAAAGGAAACGTAAACTTCAAATTTAAAGTACACCTACCTCAATTTATGCTAAAAACCTAACAGTAATGCTCAAATCAGAAAAAAAGACTTGAAAACTCTTATTCTTAATCCTTAATATAAAGCCCATTCTACGCTAAACTACCAACGTAAAGCAAGTCAAAAATTCAAATACTAACAATCCATACCTAACTATTACCTCACAATAGCTAGCACTATAAATCACAATGGTAGTATAAGTAATGCGGCAGAGCGTGCAATACAAACAAAAACCACGCTGAAGTTTTATGACATAACAAACATAACCAAGGATAGTATTGTTAGCTCATAATACAACTTGAATAAACCATTGTTTGCTAATAGTTGAATCTAAGGGTCTATTTTGACATCAATTTATAATGGAAGGAACGATTCAGAAATAAAACTTAAAACTCATGGCATGCTAGGCCCAGAGAAAAACATTACATAAATCCCTCGTTTATGCTCTTATTATGTATGGCAGGGGAAAATATATTGGATAATTATTTTCTAAGTAGTGTTATGATTAGGGACATAAGTCGTACAATGAAGGGGGTGTCTATGGATGACACAATTGGGTCAATAGGAGAGAATTGCGAAAAAATAAAAAGGAGAGAGGGGTGGACATGGGTGATTGAATAAGACAGAATGGGTTGATTCACTTGCCCATTTGAATAAAATGGGCAAATAAGGAGAGAAAATAGGATTTTTGATGTAAAAGGTGGGTTGAAACCAGGGGCAAACCAGCCACGAATTTTCAAAGGGGTGTTCTGAAATTTCTGATTACCAAGTTGAACCACAGCTAGCAGGAAAACATGGGTTTTCAAGATCTAGGATCAAAAAGTATCACACACATATTCACATATTTTCACACATTATGAGGTAGTTACTAATTTTAATAAGAAAAGCTCTGAAATTCTTAATGAACTGATTATTAAAAAATATTCGTTTCTTTACACACTTATTACACATTTTTTCAGACATTTCACACCACTAATGGTCTCACAAAGTTAATAATTACTTCAATTAACACAGGGGGGGTCGCTAGAAAAACAGAAAATTTGTGATAAACCTATTTTTATACAAAGAATAATAAAATATAACATATGCCTCGATAAAGTTTTTTGAAGGCATAATATGTTAGATTACAGTCATAGAATCTCAAAATGTCATCCGTGCACTTCAGAGCATGGTACTAACCTAGGAGTCCAAGCTCGTGTAGCGTTTTGAAGTTTGACTTATGGGATATCATTTCAAAATTCGAAAAAGAAATGAGTTAGCAAACATTTTATGGGGCTCCCGAAGTATGCGAACCAAGATGGCGAACATCGGAATGTAATATGTGTACTAGGTTAGGGTTAGGCCATAATTTTAGGTATAAATACTACGGGAGGCTCTTGGCTAGTCTTCGAACTGATAATAGGACTAAAATAAGGAAAATTGGAAAGAAATTATCGCCTAACCCTAACCTGTTACGTTCCGATGTCCGCCATCTTGGTTCGCATACTTCGGGAGCACCCATTTTATTCATTTATCTCACATTCTCATCTGACCTTCAAATGTTCTGCTTTTTTAGCGACCAATTTCACATGCATAACAGAAACAGATGAAACAACAAGAAACAAGGATTCAAACTTACATTCCATTATTATTACCGGACTGGTCAATCGGTAAAAAACTTCTTGAAACTGTTTTTCGTTTGTATCGTTTTGTCACAATGTTTCGGAATGTTCTTGCCATGTCTTTCATGCTCTCTCTAAAAAACGAAGAAATGGCAGAAATTTTATTTCAGTCGTTCTGGTAAAAACAAACAAACAAACAAAGCGCAGAGATACCTGGAAGGTGTACATAACGACGCATGAAATCCAAATTGGGCTAAGTCCATTTTTCTAGTTTTGAGAAAACGCAAAAAACGTTTTTTTTTTGTTTCTTTTTTTGATTTCTCTAATACCTTACATCGAGGATGTCTAGTTTTTATGGTCCACCAAAGTTACAATGAAGGCCATATTTAGATGGTATAAAAAAATGTCCAAAAAATGGACTTAGCTCCAATGCAGTTATCCAGAGCTAAGTCCACTATAGTAGACACAGCTCTGTTTAGTTCTCAAATGCCCTAAAAAAAGCAGGGTTATGTCCATAGCTGTCTTGAGATCTAGAGAACCTAGAGATAAGGCAAATAGACCAAAATGTAGAGCTAAGTCCAGGAAAATCAGCAATTGAAAAATGTCATTTTTTGGAAAAGTGGACTTAGCCCTGTTTGATTTTGAGGTGTCGATAACTTTGGAAAAAGTTAGAAACATACAAACATCCACTAAAGCTAGTGAAAGCAAAATGAAAAACACTATAAAAATTCTGAAGATGAGGAAAGGACGACTCAATCATATCACGGGCCACAATCTCTCACCCGGTTACCAGTTCTGGTAAACCTCATCGTGTTCAACGTTAGGAATACGGACGCCGCCGCAACTTTGATTACCCTGCTTGGGTTCGCACGTTTGGATCCCATGCGAGGATAGTTATGTGTAAAAGGATTGCTGGACTCATCGCTGCCGTAGGGTGGTTCACGTAACTGCTAATCAATTACGGTTTCCTCAACCATCAATCAAGTCCATGCTTCCGAAAACAAATAACTGGCTAACTAATCCCATACCCGACATGGACTGGTAACTGGATGAGAGGCCGTGGTTTGCGATATGATTAAGCCGTCTTATCGCCTTTCCTCTCCCGGGGAAAAATATGTAAATCCTAGTATCCTCACCTCTTCTTGACTGGCATACAGTATTCCTGCACAGGATGGGTTGGTTTGTGGGATTTCTTGCCGTCAATGTTTGTAAGAAAGCAATTTTGACATGCATTGTAATCCATACATCTCAAACAACGAAATCTGAATGAAAATTAGACGAGAATATCGGTTGGAAACCGAAGACTTATCGATCGATAGTTGGGGGATCCCCCAAAACAGAAACTGCAGTTTCGATTCATCCGCTCTTGTAACTTGCGCACTGCGCATCGCACACACACACTCGGCGGGTTTCAAAATTCTCTCGCTTTACAAAAATCTAGATCACTATATCAATAATTGATTGATAACTCGCTAATTATACGACATAATTCGCCCAAAATCAATAGGCTTCTGGTCCGAGATAAGATGAATGCACATGCAAAATCTGGAGCAGATTCAATCTCGCTTTCGTGAGATATCGCGTGCATCTAACAGACACACAGACAGACAGACAGACAGACAAATACCTATCAATATACTTACCGATCTTAAGATCGATAAGTAATGAGTACATGAAAGATTTCATATTTTTTTTGGTGCTCCAAAAGTGTGTGTACCAATATGGACGTAACTACTTTACATCAAGTTGTGTAAAATGACTGGAATCTATGGGTAGGGGGTATATTCACTTGGCTAACACAGACAGTCTCCAAACTCGTAATAGAACTTAAAATAAGGTAAATTGAAATAAAATTATGGACTAACCCTAATCTGGTACATACACTACAGGAGTACCCAACGCTCACCTTAATCCAATGATTGGTCTTGTTTTACAAATCGAGCAAGAGACTGGGTGTCGTGACCTTTCCGCACTGTTGATTCTGTGCATTGTGGGTAGCCACACGATGGATTGTGGCTCCAATAACATCCAGCGAACAAAGTCATGTTCTGTGATGCCGTATCCAAAGATCTTGTTAACAAAAAGATGAATTTAGGGTGAATTCATGACTGGTTGATTTTTCTTCAATGATTTTGGATTTGTAAATACACTAATAAAGTTAAAATATCCTGTGCGATTCAAGAGTCTAGCTCTGACATGAGCAAACTACGGCCTGCGGGCCAAATCCAGCTCATTGGGTAATTCAATCTGACCCGCCTGATGCTGCCACAACCAAACTGAAACCAAATTTTGATGTTTTAGTTAAAAATAGCTCAAGGAATCAGTTGAGATTGTGTTGTGATTAAATTTAGTTTTTGCACGAGGCTTATTGTTTTCCACTTTTGCTTTTGTAACACTGTATTGGCCATATTGGGTTAGCTCTTATCTTTATTCCTTTTTATATGTTTTATATTCAAGTATCTTCATAAATAAATTTTTGCATTTGCATCATTTTCAAACTCCCCCAAAGAGATCTTTCAAGTTCAGAGTTATACGTTATATCAGCGTAAAAGCTGACCCTTCAGTGTGATCAGGGTTATGCATGTTTAAGCCGGACTTTTAGTGCAATCAGAGTGGGGCTCCCGAAGTATGCGAACCAAGATGGCGGACATCGGAATGTATTATGTGTACTAGGTTAGGGTTAGGCCATAATTTTAGGTATAAATACTACGAGAGGCTCTTGGCTAGTGTTCGAACTGATAATAGGACTAAAATAAGGAAAATTGGAAAGAAATTATCGCCTAACCCTAACCTGTTACCCATGGTACGTTCCGATGTCCCCAATCTTGGTTCGAATACTTCGGGAGCACCATCAGAGTTATGTTTGACAACTTTTTTTTTGAGTTTTAAACTCGACTTATAATTATGCGAGAATATTTATTTTTTTTATTAATTATATTTATCAATTATTTTACTTTTTTATTTATTTGTTTTATTTACAACCCGACCACTCTCGTTTCCCACTTCATAATTTGTATTGTGTACTCAGTATCAAGTGGTATTGGTATTGATTGGTATTTCAGATCTTTTGTTTTGATTCGATGACGGAGTGTTCTGTTACAAGTGTGTAATAGTCATGTAGTAATCGTAATAGTATTCATGATAAATTCTTTCCATTGTCCTAATAGGGTACTCCCGTAGTATATGTACCAGGTTAGGATTTAGGCGATAATTTTATTCCAATTTTCCTTATTTCAGTTCTATTACGAGTTCAGGACTGTCTATGTTAGTTAAGTGAATATACCCTGTGCCTATAGGTTTCCATCCCTTTACACAACTTGATGTAAAGTAGGCGAACAAAATTAGTTACCTTCATAAGGTACACACACTTCTGGAACGCCCCTAATGCTACAGTTTAATAGACCAGCATGAATGGAATTCATTTCATAAATACACGTGAATATACCCCCTCATAAACCAAGTGAATATACCCCCTGCCCATAGGCTTCTGTCCCTTTACGCAACTTGATGTAAAGTAGGCGAACAAAATTAGTTATCTTCATAAGGTACACATACTTCTGGAGCGCCCCTAAAAGTACAGTATAATGGTCTAGCATGAATGGAATTCATTTCATAAATACAACTTCCTAAACTATTAATTTCTGTCAAAATTTTCATATTCCAAACATTGCAATTTCCATGGGGCGGACAGCTTATCTTTCTGCCATGTATATAGTGCCTCTATTGCAGTGGTTCTTAAACTTTTTCGAGCGCGACCCAAATCTGAGCGCGACCCAATCCTAAATAACGCAAAATGTGTTTTTAATGTTAGTACAGTTTGACTCAAATACAGACAACTATTTATTAGAAACAGTCCATTGACTCAGTGAGATTGATGAAACTGAAATTTCCTTTTCATTATATCTTCAATACACAGCTCTATTTTACTTAACGCAATACGCAAGTTGTCACGGGTATCGAGGCGATTGCGAGCTTAGTTTTAATAACCGTCAGTGCCAAATATTCTCGCTCGCACAAGTGCCTTGTCGCGAATTGTAGCAGAAAAGGCGTCCGCTGTCCGTCGCAAACACGACATCCTAGCTGGCCTTCGGTATCTCTCGCAATATACAACTTTTTACTCATCAAATGTGCACACACTGCTTCGTTCGCGGTAAATGGTGCCTCGAGATGAAGTCACATTTTCTCTAGATATTGAAATAACCTAAAGTCGAGAAGCGAGCTTTTTCATTGCGTCGTCCATTACAATTTACATTACCAAAAAGACACCCATTTTTGGTTATTTTAATCCACTAAGACGACATTCCACGCGGTCAACACAACGACAAGCGACGTGCATGGTTACCGATACCATAAAAATAATACACGTGACTGGCATATCAGAATTGTGATGTAACAATGAGCTCAAGACAGTTCTTTCCGTGAATGAAATTTTATATTTCATTATTTTTAAATACCAGAGTTTAGAAGCTAAACTGAAACATTGGGAAAGCTGAAAATTCTTCCTTCTCCTCTTAGATTGCCCTTGCATTGACGACCTTGTCGCGACCCATTTTTAAACCTTCCGCGACCCATGTTTGGGTCGCGACCCATACTTTAAGAACCACTGCTCTATTGTTTCATAACTGGTAAATATAATTAGATTATTTTATATGCCTACCCCATTAAAACAACTTTCAACTGCAGGTCCAAGTTTCCCAAAATGGCTTGATTCAAAGATGACTCGGGTTATTTGAATAACATGATTTAGCAGTATTGCAACATTCCGCTTAGTCAGCGTTTTACTGCCTGGTTCGCAATGACACCAGAAGAGCGACCTGAAAAAAAATTTGACAAATTTGAAAAAATGGATAAGAAAACCGATTTATGTTGGCTAATAGACACTAATTTTTATTATTGTACAGGGTAAGGCAAAATAAAACTCTCACGACATTTCATTTTGTGAAAAATAAATAACAAAAAATAATCACTTGTTATTGGAATATTGAGAAAAAAAGAAAAAAGGGGCATAAACAACATAAATTAACTTTAACTAGGCAAATAAATACAACAAAGTTGCCATAGTAAGAATTCAAAACATGGAAGCTTTTTGCCCAACTCTGTATTTTCCCGATTGTCCTGTCTAGAACAGGGTTTCCCAAACCAGGGGTCGTGACCTCAAATTGGGTCGGAGTGACATTTAGGTAGGGTCGCAAACAGGTTATGGGGTCGCTGAGGTATGGTAGAGAACGGATGTACAAACCATCTAAGATTTGACAAACCATGTTGAATTTAGCAGTTTGTAGCATGGCTTACTGTAAAACAGGCCCATAGGCATCACTCTATGCTTATGCTATAGAAAATATAGGTGCTTATTGTGATATCACTGTTCGGTTTTAGCTTATTTTACTTAATACCACCACATGACCAAACTCAAAAGTCCAGTAAAAGAAGCTCTAGTCTAAAGTTCCACGAAAAATATATATATATATATCGACTTGGGGTCGCACTGGACACTTGAAAGTTGTGTTTGGGGTCATCCTGAAAAAAGCTTGGGAACCCCTGAGCAAAACTTTATTCTCAGAACAAGGCTTTGTATAAGCATTCCCCTAGTGGGAGCTATTATTTTTGAATGGACTGTAACTAACATAGGTTGTACTGCTGTTACCAGTGACTTATAATCAGTGTATATCAGTGCTCTTTTCACTTTAAGTTGAGGGCTCAATGCCTTGCTGGGACTAAACTTGAAGAAAAAAATGGGGCTAGCGAAGTACGGTAAACTCCTTATATAATGCCAAACAAAAATGTAATATGAAATTACCGCCAATATGGCTAAATACCGTCAAACAGAAATTTTCCTCTCAAAAACGAGCGAATGGCAATTTCACAGTCTCTAGGAAAGTGACTCCAGTTTCCGCAAAAAAGTGCACCTATTGTGAACACTACTCTGAGTCAAGCTTGCACAAGATGTTCAAAAAATTTTGCCCGATTTTATATTAATAACAATTGTAAGTTTAAATAAATTTTAATGCATGATAAATGAGGACTACAAGCACAATAAGAACTATTAATAAAAAATGACAAAGAAATTTTGGTGCTCCAGAAGTATGCACACCAAGATGTCGCACAACCTGAATCCTAACCGGTACACACATACTATGTTCAGGTTGTGCGCCATCTTGGTGCGCATATTCTGGAGGTTCGAAATTTTTTATTGTTATTACCGTATATAAAATTGGGCGGAATTTTTGGACACTGTATCTGTATATTGAAAATCTCACAAGCTTAATAACTGGTACTTACTTATATTTGCCAACTAATTCTCTGTCACACATCACTATGAAGAATGATCGAACCGCTTGTAGAGGGATATTGCCTTCGCCTTTACTGAAAATGAAGTGAAATATTATAAATTATAGATGTTTAAACTTCAAGTATATTTATAAACAAGACAGCGATGCTCAAATATAAAATAGGATTTACATATTTACCCTGGGGGAGATGAAAGCCGATAAGACGACTTAACCATATGGTGAACCACGGCCTCTTGGTCCGGTTACCATTCCATGTCGGGTATGGGATTAGTTAGTTATTTGTTTTCGGAAGCATGGACTTGACAGTGGAGGAAGCCGTAACCGACCAGTGGGCACGTGAACCATCCTATATATGGACATGAAATGGTGCAGGTATGCAATCTGTCACAGTATCCTACCAGTACCATATCACAGCTGAACAGCAGATTTGAACTTACACGAAAGCAGAACCGACACAAGGAGCACAATTTTAATAAACTTCGATGTCGTCAACGTACTGGCGCGGCGGTGTGGCTCAACGGGTTAAGCGTTAGGAATACGCTCGCCACCGCACCTCTAATTACTCTGCGTGGGTTCCCAGGTTCAAATCCCATGCAGCGATGGTTATGTGCGAGAGGATTGCTGGACTCCTCGCCGTCGTTGGGTGGTTCACGTATCCGCTGGACGGTTACGGCTTCCTCCACCACCAAGTCCATGCTTCCGAAAACAAACAATACAGTAAAACTAACTAATCCCATACCCGACTTGGAACAGTAACCGGACGAGAGGCCGTGGTTCGCCATATGGATATGCCGTCTTATCGACTTTCCTCTCCCCGGGATAAATATGTAAATCCTATCCTGCACAAAAAAATTTAAATTATGACCAAAAAAGTTTGTAGTAATATTCTAAACTAGTGGTTTTCAAACGATGGTTCGCGCTGCACAAAGAGGGTTGAAGACAATTTTTAAGAGGACGTGGAGCTAATACAAAATAAAAATATTTGAAAGCTTCGATCATGTCCGCCTTACTTTGGATATTTACATTTCAAAACATTTCAATTATTCCATTATTTATGTTCCATCATCCATCCACGTATACTTTCTTGAAAAGATTTAAAAATGGTGCTCCCGAAGTATGCAAACCAAGATGGCGGACATCGGAACGTAACATGGGTAACAGGTTAGGGTAAGTCGATAATTTTTTTCCAATTTTCCTTATTTTAGTCCTATTGTCAGTTCGAAGACTAGCCAAGAGCCTCCCGTAGTATTTATACCTAAACTTATGGCCTAACCCTAGCCTAGTACACATATTACATTCCGATGTCCGCCATCTTGGTTCGCATACTTCGGGAGCCTCTTAAAACCAGTGTTCTAAACTAATAAGACTACCTTTGAATACATTCAAATGATAGACATGAACATCCCTTAGTTTGATTATGAAATGTTCACAATATCAAGAATCTCAACTTTCAAACACATTGAATTTGATTTTGACATCCATACCTTGTACTGTCACGACCAAAATTATCAAAGTTCTGAATTTGAAAACTACTCAAAATCTACTCACGTATCATAGATATGCATCACAAGAGCTGTAGTGAGGTCGGCAAGAACCTCAGGAAAAATCTCCTCAAGATCATTTCCTTGAGTGGGTGACTCAGTGTAAACTCGATGAACAACATTCTGTACTCCTGAAGCATTGATGCTCGGATGAGATTGTTCTGGGCTAGATATAAAGAAAATATAACAATATTTTGTACCAGCGGTTCCCAAACTATTGGTCGTGACCCACTGGTGGGTTGCAAAAGGAATCTCAGAGGGTCGTGAAAAGATGTAGAAAGCTTTGATTAATTATACTAGTTATTAGGATCGGTGGTAAAACAAATTTACAAACAAATTTCGAAATGGACTGCAACTTTTCCATTTTTTACGTCTAAAACTATCTGAAATTGAATTAAATGTCAAATCTATTATGGAAAATAGCAAGAAACAAGCTCATCTTTCTGACTAGCTTCACTGAAAATTCAATTTGAGAAATATATTTGTCTCCTCCATCAATGTTTTATTAATTTATTAAAGTTAAATGGGTCGCCATAAGCTGTGGTATAAAATAGTGGGTCCCAACTCTAAAAAGTTTGGGAACCACTGTTTTATACAGTTCCAGTTGTCTCTCAGAGCAAGGCTCTATACGAGCAGAAACAGACATGTAACAAACCACTTATTTTTATATACAGTGATACCTCGGTAAGAAAGCACCTCAAAAATATTCGAACAATTTGGTAGTCGGCCGAAAAATTCTAGTTAAAAATCTTGCGGTACTCAAACAGAAATTCGGTGCTCGAACACCTGAGGGTTCCATCGTGCAAGATGACATCACCCGGGTTTTCAATCTGTTACAGTAAATTACCGGTACCGATATCACGACTACCGCGAAAGGGAAACCGTCGAATGATAGCCGAACACCAATTCGGAACGAAATATGTTCAACTATCAAGGTAGGATAGATTTACATATTTATCCCGGAGGAGAGGAAAGTTGATAAGACGAATAAACCATATTGCGAACCACGGCCTCTCGTCCGGTTACCAGTCCATGGGATTCGTTAGTTATCTGTTTGTTTTCGGAAGCATGGACTTGATGGTGGATGAAGCCGTAACCGACCAGCGGTTACGTAAACCACCCTACGGCGGCGAGGAGTCCAGCAATCCTCTCGCACATGATCACCGCCGCATGGGATTCGAACCTGCGAACCCACGAAGGGTAATCAGAGATGCAGTGGCGAGCGTATTCCTAACGCTTAGCACGATGAGCCGCATATCACTGTATTTATTATTTTATATGCTCGAACGTTGTTATTCCAAACAGGGCTAAACCACTTCCAGGGAAAGAGCACTATTTTTGGTTTTAATCTTCTAGGTCAAGGGTGTATCCAGGGAGAGGGGAGTTTAAAGGTCAAACCCAAAGCAATTTTTCAGAGCTTAAAACTTCCTCATAAAAATAACACCCACCTTGAACTCAGTCCCACCAGTGGTTGAGATAAAACAGCAAGAGCGCTCGAGACTTCGATTTTATCCAATTTCAGACTTTTCTGAATTCGACGAAGTTTCAATGATGTCCTGTAAAAATGAGGTATAAACAAATCAAATTCAACTTCAAAAATTGGACATAAATCACAATTTTGTTGAGTAAAGGGCATATTTTGCTGAGAAATAACATTATCGATGACTACATTAGTTCAAAGTAAATTGACTGTGATTAGTTCAATATTTTGACTATCATGTATTTTCATTATTGAACGTGGAAGTAAAATAACGACGCTCCAGAAGTGTGTACCAATATGGAGGTAACTAATTTGTTCGCCAAGTTGTGTGAAGGGACTGAAACCTGTGGACAGGGGGTATATTCGTTTGGCTAACTCCCAGGACTAGCAATAGAACTAAAATGAGGAAAATTGTAATAGAATTATGGCCCAACTCTAGCCGGGTACACATACTACGGGAGTATCTGTTAATCAAGCTTCAACAGGACAATTATATCAACTTGTGTAAAGGGACTGAAACCTATGGGCAGGGGGTATATTCACTTAACTAACACAGGCAGTCCCGGAACTCGTAATAGAACTAAAATAAGGGAAAATTGGAATAAAATTGTGAACTAATCCTAACCTGGTACACACAATACGGGAGTACCGACTACCGATATATCTAATGGAAACATGTTAAAAAGATGAGTTAATAAGAAGTCTTTTTATAGGAAAGGACCAGAATGTGCTCGGATTATTCGGTAGGGAGCCATGCATCAAGAAACTAACATGCCAACACTAGATTTCTCAGAAAGTAATCGAAATAGCCAACCTGTAAACACTGAAACGAACATCCTTATACTCTGTGTTTGTTTTGAACAATAAATTCTTCAACTGTGGTTCCATAATTTATGACAAGTTTAACAAAATTAACTTTCAAAAACTAAAATTTTGCGATAATATAAATCTGAAACATCTGGGAGCAAAAGTATTAGGCATTATAATTAAGACAAAAAATCTTGAACCAGTCGTCAAAACTGAATTGAATAGTACGAGAAATGGCAATAATGCGTTCCAGAAAACAATGATTTTATTGGTTATGGTGTCAAAGGTCATGGAGAATCATGATTTGATTGATCTAAATTTTAGGGATATATGAAAAACAATAACAGGTATGTTTCCAGGTAAAAATGGTTTTGAATTTATTTATAAGTTTACTAATCTGGAATATTGAATATGTATTAAGAAAAACATTGTCACTATATCTTCATAAAAACCATTTTTACCCAAGATTTTAAAAAACTGAACTATACATAAAATAGCCGAAATGTATTACAGGAAACAATTATTTCTTGGTTGTAATGACGAAGGTCATGATTCGGATGATATTAAGTTTGCAATAAAACTGGTGAAAACATGATTATGTTTTTGACGAAATTGAAACATAGAAACAGTGGTGCAATTAACAATACTATACTTCATTTTCAATATTTTTTTTATACTTTTTGACATTTCTTTCGCTCTAAAAATGGCTTTGTACAAACAGCCAAAAATATTTAAGCCAATTCTAAATGCAAATAGAAAAATCTGTTTCAAATATCGAACGAAATTCTAAATTTAGTAACGATCATTAATTCAATGGGTTTCCAGAATTACTTATGGTAAACAAACAGTTCCGAACATGGCCAATCCACTGGTTCTAAACCAGTGGGCCATGCATGGCCCGCTGCTGAGCGTGCCACACACAATTGTGGTATTGTAAATTAACTCCTGTAAAACAAACAAATCGCAATAACAATACATAATAACGGATATCTTTTTATTGAAACAATTTAATGTCCTGAAAAAAAACTGCTTTGATATAAACGTGATATATTTTAATGTATATCATAATTTTTTTTTTTTACAAAACCGTTCACGTGCCACGTTTGAGCGAAAGATGTGCCAAATTTGGCACGTGTGCTTCGTGTTGTGCAACCCTGGCCTAATACACTGGTTCTCAACCAGTGGGCCATGGCCCACTGCTGGGCCATAGAGACATTTTCAAGTGGGCCACAAGTCTATTAAAAATTACTATGGTTATTGAAAAGTTTAGTTTCATCTGTGTCACTATAGTCTATTTTTATTGTAGTAGCAATGAATGAAGCTGCTACTTTTCATTCTAATCATTAAAGTGAAAGTATTTATTTTTACAAACAAAGTCTTGTTTTTTACTTGCATGAGAAAGTTAGTGCGCCACAGAATTTTTATGCATTGAAAGTGGGCCACGATAAAAAAAAAGAGGTTGAGGACCACTGCCTAATCATAAGGACAGACATCCATCAGTTTCACGAATTACAGAAAAGCGTTGATCAGTTTCGAAAATCATAATAAAGACAGATATATACGGAAACAATCATGAATGAACAGGTAAAATGATCGTACTATATCACGCTGTAAAACATTTGCAGTTTGAAATTGTTTGGCTGTTTTTAAAATTGCTGAATCATAAGTCAGAGGCTTCCTTGCCGGTTCATAACAACAATAAATTTTTTGGATAGATCTATTTTTCAGCCATTATTATCCGAAAATGATTCAGAATTTGTCTTGATTGTCTGAGATCTCGGGAAAAACTCGTTTTTCAATGACAAATTTTTAAAAAATTATTTGGCATAATTATAAACATTGTAAAGCAAGAATAAGAATTATAGTCGCCAGTTTTTCTTTATGAATCAGTGAAATTAGCTTTTCTTTTTTCAACAAAAGCATCCATTCCTTCTTTCCTATCATTCGTTCCGAAGGTTGAGTGAAAAATCTTTCTTTCAAACTGGCATCCTTGAGTGAGTGTCGTCTCGAATGCTGCATCGACTGCTTCTTTCGCAAGAGTAACAATGATTTTCGAGTTGTTTGCAATTTTTTCCGCAGTTTTTATTGCTTCTTCTACCAGTTTTTCTGCATCAACGACTTTGCTTACGAGACCAGCTGCGAGGGCCGTTTGTGCTGTTATTCTATCTCCTGCGAGACACATCTCCATTGCTAAAGACTTTCCAACAGCTCTCGTAAGTCGCTGAGTGCCTCCAGCTCCCGGGATTGTGCCGAGTAAAATTTCCGGCTGCCCAAACTGTGCTTTATCTGAAGCATATATAATATCGCACATCATTGCAAGCTCACACCCTCCTCCCAGAGCGTATCCATTCACAGCGGCAATAATCGGTCTTTTACCAAATTGGCCCCAATCAGAAAGAAAGTTACCCATAATGCAATTTTGGAGTGTCATTGGCTGCATCTGTTTGATATCCGCACCAGCTGCGAATGCTTTACCTTTGCCAGTAATAACAACGCATCCTACATCTTTATCTTCGCTCAAATCGTTTGCTGCTTTTTTGATATCAGCAATCAACGGATCGCAAAGTGCATTCAGAGATTTAGGATTATTCAAAGTGATCAAACCGACGTTTTTCTTTTCGCCGACTTTTTCAACTATAACGTTTTCGTAAGTGCCACTAGACATTAATCTTGTGAACAACAGCGACGAAGGTTTATGGAAATTTTTCCCAACAAGTTGGTTGGTTAGTCGACTTGCAATTCCTGACATTTTTCAGTTTATTTATCCAATATTTTTATAATACTAAATAATTTTTATCTCTGTAAAAAGAAATGTAATTGGAGCATCACAACAAATATCTTGGATGTAATTTAGTACCACTATGACTTGTAGTGAGTGTAAAAATTTTTGCATATGTCATCAGTGGCGCAACCAGCGGGGGGGTTACGGGGGTCGTGTCCCACCCGTTTGAAATTGTTTTTTTTTTATTATTGTTCTATGTTCAAACAACGTCGTTCTACGGTGATAACAATCCGGTGAAAACTACTTTTTTTCCAGTGCTTTATCCCCTCGACGTAATTTAACACCGCCCGACTTCAATCATACTTTTTTGCTGTTAGTTACGTAATAATATCTATCCCCGCGTATATGTTTGTATTCGAAAATGAGATATGTTACCTCAAAAAAGTAGAAATTGCGCGCTGTCGATGCGAATTGAAAGCGACAATAGCATAATGCTATCTCTCTCTCTTGTGACGAATACTCTCGTGCTTCTTCATCTTGACGCAATGTAACGGCGCCCGTCTTCATGTTATAATAATGCAGTAGAAACTCTCAAAAAACTGGATACAAAAATTATTTTCGGAAAAATATTGCTTCGATTAACCTAAGATTTTCTACATATGAAAGGCCGAAAACCGAAAACATCAGACACATCCTACCGCCCCCGTCCACGTTCTGATTTGAAAACATTTCACATTTATTTCATTTTTTATCCAATCGAAAGCAGCCATGTGTAACTAACAGTCGTCGTGAAAGGTTTTCAATAAACTCCGACTTGAAGTGCTTATAAGACGTCGACGACGTTTTTGGTTGAAAATTTTTTACATTTGATATCGTATATTTCAATTTAGTCAAGATATGTTGTGCGCTTCGGCAATAAACTTGAAAGCAAATCCTGCCCTAATTAATTGTTTTCATCCTCAGTTTCGATAGTTATCGAACTTAACCGGAAATTTTTTAATTTCTTGCATCTATAAAATAGCTTCTAAATATTATTTGGTTTTTATCGGGGATTTTATCGTTATCCCGACGTCGTTGATAACAATATCGTTCATTTTAAGTTGGAGGTACTGGTTTATAATCAAAAAATTATAACACATAACATGAAAAATTTAAATCAACGCCAACTCAAAAAGTAAAACACGTTTTTCCATCTTTATTCTCCATTATTGGCGGACGGAAATTTGGGAATCGGGTTTAACTAATTTGATTATGATGACCATGGTAAACAAAAGTACACAAACATACCATACCGTTCTTAGTTTTTAGTCGTTATTTCTCTGTCCTTTCTTCTTTCTATGTGCATATTAAGACCATAAAACGTGTTTTATTTTTGAACTCTGCGCTGATTTGAATATTTCATGTCGGCTGTTATGTATTTTTGTTTGAAATGAATATCCGCGATAGATATCAAATACTATATATAAGAGCTATTTTATACGCACTAAATTACAAGAAATGAAAAAATTTCCTGTTATGTTCGGTCACTATTGAAACTGAGGATGAAAACAACTAATTAAGACACAATTTGCCGCAGACGCCTAAACCATCTCGACACAAAATACACAATAAGAAAATATTTTCAATTGTAATATATTGCCGAACCACACATGGACGACGGACGCTAGGATATGTGCGCCATATTCTGGATTATTATAAACACGAAAAAACAGTATTTGAAGTTTGCGATATTTGAATTTAAATTCGATTTGGACATCCCTGCATTAAATTAGTCAGTTTTTAGTTGTGTTTCCAGAAATTAGTTGTAAATCAATTATTTTAATTGTCATTATGTCTTCCGGTGAGCTTCAGTTTAGTTTAGAATTTTTCTGGGGTTAGGGTCGGGAAAAGGTCCATTCGCAAGAAGTGCATTTTGTTTTTAGTCTTGACGAATTCACCCAACGAGCAAGGCGCGGCACGAGGGAAACACTGGAATTTATTCAAGCCGTGTTTCACTATCCACGAGGCGCAAAGCGAGGGAAACGTTGAAAATAATTAACAGCTTTTCGTTAGCAATTCGCTGGAACGTAATTAACGGCGTTTTACTACCCACGAGGTGCAAGACATAGCGAAGCGCCGTTAATGAACGAGTGCAAGGTAAGCGAAAGGCTGGGATTTAATCGATGGCGTTTCCCTTTTAACCACGAGCAATTTATCGTGTTTCAGCGGGGCGACACCTAGTGGCGTTGCAACTTACGTCGTGGTTGCACTGTGTAAATTCCGGTCGGACCCCCCTGTTGAAAACGGCCTGGTTGCGCCACTGTATGTCATTCCTTACCCCATCTGACTTTGTCATCCAAATTTTATTTCACTCAACGTAACAATCACAAAATAGATCTTGCCAAAGTATAGCAACGATCCCCTGTAATGGCACCAGCAACTACATTAACAAAATCACAACGCAAGTCACATTCCTCATATTGGGATCGTTTCGCAGACTTCAGAATATCGTATTTCCCGGCGAATAAGTCTACCCGGTAAATAAGACGAGGCCCATTTTTAAGCCTGGAAAAATGGGTTTTTGCATATAACCTGCCAGTAAGTCGGGGTAGTAAAATCTCATCAACATCGGAATCTCAAATTACCATGCAATGCCTTTTGTGCGGTCGCCGCGTTTGCACATTGGTTAAAATAGCCTATAATGACGTTTTCTTGTAGCGTAATATTCAATCCATAATAACTACGGGAATTCAAACTGTCTTTAAATTTTAATCTAATTGTATTCAACTCGCGATTGCGGCCACCATAAAAGTACATTACCTAAAAAATAATAGGGTGACAACAAAAAAATAGGAAAATTACCATACTCACTAATAAGACGACCCCCCAAAATCAGACCAAAAATTTGGGTCTAAAAAAGCGACTTATTCGCTGGGAAATACGGTAAACAGGAAATTTTAGTAAAATACCAATTTCTAACAACAAACGTTGCAGAATGCTTCATCTGAGAACTATGTGAAAAGGTGGTGAGCATATTAATTACCCATAATTTTGACTCTGATTCCAGTTACGAGAAAATCTGAACACATGCGCAAGTCATTATCAATGAACCTTTGAGAACGCTTAATAAACTGAATCATACTTAAAATTAAGAAAAATTTTGTGACTTCACTAATCGCCCTTGTTTTATACTGTATTGCAGTACAGAACAGTTCTCTTATTCCATGAATAGCCCTCACATTAAAACACATCAATTATAACAGTGGATGCGAACCCTTCCTTTTCGAGACAGTCCAGCAGTCTGGGCCTCCAAATCAGCAAACAGTCACTGCGCAATAAACAAAAAAAAATAGTAATTTGAAATGTCTGAATGCACTATCAGATTCTTCGGAAAAAAATAATGAAGAAAATGAATGACTTAGGTGGCTAAATAACGCCAAACATAAATGCTGTAAATGTGATGTGAAAACACAACCCAAATTTCCATTTTTTCCGATAAAAGACATTGTTTGTGATATTTTGAAATATTTACAAGAGCCTAAACCTAAAAAGGTGAAATTTGAAAAGGCTGAATTGAGAAAATGAATTTTTAATTCTTCGAACTTTTGTAATGCTTTGATTGCTTCCCGTTGAAAAATCTGAACTACGGTACGGTACTAAACTATGATTGAATAAGTACCGGTATGGTACCAAATACAGAAATAAGCACCTACGTACTATTTTGTGATATTTCAAATAAAAACTTTTCAAAATTTCACCGTTTTGACTCGAACTCGGGAAACCCTCGCCCGTATGACAGTATGATCTCTCTTTTCATCTCCGCAAGTTCAGAAACTCGAATTTGCAAAACTGTCAGAAGTCAGCCAGTGCTGAGGCCATGAATTTTTCTGACAGTCCTGCACCGTCATTATGGGAGCCTGTTTTTGATGGAATTAGGAAAAAACTAACTTCCAGAATCTAACTCATCGTCTCATCCTAATTCTACGATTCGAAGACAGATATCAAAGTTTCTCAACAGAAAACGTCGCTAGTTCAACATAGATACATGATGGCCGAAAGTATTGCAAGGAGTCAAAAAAAATTGGCCTATATTTATTTTTAACTCCGCAACGATACAAAATAATACCTGTACTCATGACGAATACGCAGGACAAAATTTAGATTAAGTTGCTAAATGAAGGTCAAACTGGCGATATAAAAGTAGTACGTGGGCAATATCACCTTGCAACAGCATGAAAAGTTTGTCCAACCTCATTTCTCTACGCTATTTCATGCATACGTAATGAATACAAAACCATTTTTGTTCATTTTATTAATTGGTAGGTATCTATATATATATATTTATCTTCATTCATTAAAATATAAAAACAAGTATCTTGAATCGGACAGCCGTACATTGTCTCGCGACAGGTACAGCAGATCACCCGATATAGAGATTGGGCTAATCGTTAGAAACACGCTCGCCACCGCGTCACTGACAATCACACGCAGGTTCGAATCCCGTGGGAGATACTTATGTGCAAGAGGAATTGCTGAACTGATTGTCGCTGTAGGGAGTTCCCGTAACCAAGGGGTGAACCACAGGCGACCCGCGGGCCACAACCGGACAGCTAAGCCTTTCAGTATGGTACTTGTCTACACTCAGATTTCTTCCCATCAAGCATAAAATCCTAGTCCTACAATTTATGTTTCAAAAGGCGCAAAAGGGTAAAGATACATAATGTTTTTTCCTCTTTTCGCTGCGTTAAATCGTTCGCCGTTTTGTTTTTATAACTATAAAGCTAAGCGATCACCGCATTTTCTTTTATTTGTGTTGTCCAGCTAGATGTCCGAAGTTGGTTATATGGCCCACCGACAAAAAAATGGAACCGCTTGTTGGTTACGGCTTCTACTACCATCAAGTCCATGCATCTGAAATAGTCAACTGGCTAGCTAATCCCATACCCGACATGGACTGGTAACTGGACGAGAGGCCGCGGTTCGCCATATGATTACGCCGTCAAATTAACTTTCCTATTCCCCGGGATAAATATGTAAAACGTATCCTATATGGCAGTGGTTCTTAAACTTTTTCGAGCGCGACCCAAATCTGAGTTTT